TCTCAAGGTGAACACATTCTATCCATACCGCTAAGTTTATGTTGGAATATTACCATCTTTCATCAGCTTTATTTGATTTTACTGATGAATCACACATCCTAAAATTACTCAGTCCTTGAAATAACAAAATACTTATAATCCGGATAACAAGCATACCTCTAAAAGGTATGTATGTATGTGTGTGTAAATGTTTGAAAATTATACAGCCTCAAAACTTATGATCATCTCTGTGTCCAATATTTTCATGAGAGTCTTAGATCTTTGGAAAAGCATAGATACACAAGGCTCTACTTTCCATTTGGACTATTTTTGCACAGGGCATATTACAGTTCGGACAAAACAGCTTCAAACACTTGCCAATGAGAATAAATTACAGTAGGAATGGGTGATAATTATTAGGAACTTATTTTTGGAAAAGAAACCTTCCTTAATAAAAGGCTATGTACTGCCCTCTCAAAGGAACAGAGAATTTTCCCCAAAGTCAAAAATACTCTCTTAGTTCAGGAACATATCCTGTGGGGGTTAAATTATGTTTCACATGTGTTCCCAGAAAGCCATATTCAAGCTGGGCTCAACCTATGGATTACAAGGACCACTTGGAAAGCAAATTTGAATCTTTAAACACAATAACTAATTTGGTCTTTCTGTTTTTGAAACAGAGTTTGATAACCTTAAAGAATTCGAATCTTTGTGTAAGGCATGTAATTCACAAACAGTTTTAAGAGGACCTAACTGAAAGAGTTGACCAGATGAAAATTAACTAAACAGGTTAAACATATTCCAATAATGTATTCTGCAGAGCTTTTAGAATAGTAATAAACGTGAAATGGGAACAACAAGAAAAACTCTTTCTTGCTTCCGTCTTCTGTGGCTTGCTCTCCAAGAACATCAGAATTAAAGATAAGAGTGTCCTGTGACCTTACCTAAAATAACTGCAATATTGGGTTCTAAGTTTAAGATTGTTTTCAGTCAATATAAGGGAAAACTCAGAATAAATTAATTTCAAAAGACTGACTACAAAGAACCCAGTATAAGGAGACCCTAACTCCTGTCAGGGAAGTGCCAAAGAGGCAGTCACTTTTGGCTTGCTCTTGTTTTTCTATAATGCTAATATAGTGTTTAGATTCTGTGTTTATTCTCTACCAGACATGGATTATTTAAAACATTGTTGGCTTTGAAAATTACGAGTATAAAGAAAGCAAAAGACATAATATCATTGAGGAATAATCAACCATTGCTCTTTTGTGATCCAATATGCTTACCCAGAACTACCATTTCTTGATCACAGGTAACTTAGCACAAGGCTATGAATCAAGTTGATGTCCTTGTAAAAATTGAACATTTAGTATTTAAATTTGTTTCTTTATATAAAGCCTACTTCAGCTATGTAGTATGAAGCCATGTGTATTTAAGCCTCAGTCAAGTTGGTCATTTTCATAAACTGATTGGTAAAAATGGATTTCTCTTGGTGTTTCCATGTCATTCACCAAGCAATAACACCATCAGGAGTTACTGACCTCCTGGGAATAGCAGCTTAATTACACAGAAATTTAAAATTGAGAAGAGTGGTGTAAGTGCAAACATAGAAACTACCCTGCCTTTGGGTGGTTTATTATTAAATTTAAAGCCTCAGATGGTCTTTTTTGTTTGTGTAGATTTTAATTACTAAGTGAGTCTGGTAAAATATGAATTACTATATGATCACAAGTGATAAAATGTATATGGTTATGAGCATTACAATCTGCAGGTGTAGCATACATAAAGCAAGATTAATAGTATTGAGCAGTTAAACTGAAGCTATCTTTAAGGTGGGGAAAAAAAGGTTTTAATGCTACTCTTAAGTGTAACTTAAACTCTCACTAAGTATTCTTAACTGCAATAAAAACATGTTAATTGTAGGATCACTTCTTCATAGGACCTCACTTCTTAGAGTTAATTTTTCTTTCTAAGAATACAGGAGCCAAAATAATTTCTATTGGAACTAATTCCATAAAGAACTGAATTTTTCCTTAACTTTTAGTTGTTTTTTATTATTATTATTTTTATTTTTATTAATTGAAGAAAATCCTAAATAGCACAGGAAATTCTGTGTGTAGTGAATTTATGTATGAGCTAAATACAGTTGGGATAAAAATGATTAAATTATTGATAAGGGCATTGTTCATCCCAAAGCATTCCATTACTTCTTTAAATATTCTGAGAATTTGGTCTTAATTTGTCTATAATTGCATATAAAATCGAGGAAACTATAATTTGCTTTAATAAAATATGCTTGCATGTAACTTATTAACAGTCATATGTAAAAGAAACATGATAGACATCTAATTTTTTTATGTGTTTCTATTGTTTCTTTTTTTTTCTCTCACTTTCTTAATTTTTTTGTGCAAACACTAACAAGATCAATTCATGTACTTCCAATTAAACTACACCTTTGCTTCTCCGTAGTAGTGCAGGTGGCTTCACGATGCTTTTAACTAGACTTTGGTAAATACATCGAACATGTAGCAAAGTGCACAGAGTTCTTTGCAAAGGAACTTTCTGGAGACATCATCTCTTTCCTCTCTCCCTTACTCACATGCTCTCTGTCTCTTTCTCTCTCTCTCACACACACACACACATGCACACACACACAGTTTGTTCCTAGTCCTTCCTTGGACTTACTTAGCAGTGTACTTGGCAAGGTGAAACTTCAAGAATGAAGCAGCACATCATATATTACAGATTCAATATGAAATTACTCAAGACTTGCATTCTGCCCAGTTTTGAACATGTTAGCTATGTGAACAATTTAACTTAGGAAAAAATAAAAGGTAGGTTACATTTCAGTGTAGATCACTAGATGTTTGCCGTTCCTCCTCCTGCCAGCGCTGCAGTAGAGATAGCTGTTTGTATGTATCTACAGCATCATTTTTGAAGTTGAGCTAACACAACCCCAGTCAGCAAGAAGGTTGCAAAAAAAGGAGCAAAGTTGGAGCAATAACTGGGCATTATTTTGTAGAAATTATTAATTATTTCTTTAGGAAAAAAAGGTGTTTTTTTTTTGTTTTTTTGTTTTTTTTGCTCTGGAAGCACTGTCTGTAATGAAATCAAAGATGCAGTTGTCCATAGGAAAATGAGAGGAATTTGAACTGTCCTCTTCTCTGTGGTTGTGTATTATTAACCTTCATCAGTTTTTCATTTATTGACAGATTTTTTCTTTCAGTAGTTTCAATTGAATAACTGAATAGTCATGCTCTGTTTTAGTCATTTCAGTCAAAAATGCAGATACATGTATCAGTTAAAAATCCTTTTAAACAGGTGCCCTAAATGATTCAATCCATGTACTTTGTAGCTTAGCTCTTCTCTGGCTTCCCTGACATTATTTGCAAAACCAGTTAATTCTTTGTCATTAAGAAGAGCAATCCATTTAATTTAGAGATACTTTTATTTTCTTAGAACAGTAAATATTAGCATTTTTCATTTGAAGAAATTTGAAGTGTTTGAAAGCCTAATGCTTTTTTCCTAAGCTACCTAGATATAGGCATATCAGATAAAAAAGTATATTTTGTTTTTAGTCATTCCTCATATTAGCAGTAGAGCAAGAATTGAACAGTAGATAAAAATTACAAAAGGTACTGTAGGAATGTCAAAAGGATAGATATAACCTAGATATTTATTTTTTCTGAAAAACTGAATAACCTTAAAAATTTAGTTGAAATGCAATCTAATTATAATTTAATAATATTAATAAAAATAATGTAAATATTTAGTCACATGTTCCTAATAAACTGTATCACGTATATGTGATTGTACACTGTCTGTCACAGCTTTCTTGATTCCTCCTTAAATGTAATGCTTCCTAAGGAAAATATTTGATTTTTTTTTCCTTTTGACCTTACTTTAACCTCCCAGATGGTTATATTTGATTTCACATTTTGCAAAGAAATCAGGACATCTCAACTAATTTTTAAAGATCTCTTCTCTTCCATGCTATTTGGTGATAATAGAAATGTGAAATGCTTTCTTTATTGCTACAGGACAGAATCCTACCTGAAACTGGTAGGAAAAGGCTTGTGTGAGGAAATTCTAACCATGTTATATAAAATTAGAAATAAATAGATAAAAATATATCAGACAAATTATTTTAATTATCTTACAAGATGAGATAAAAATAAGTTAATAGCTTTTATTGAAAGTCTGAAGTGTCCCTATTTACAATATACTGTTATATGTATACCTTGTTTAGTATTCTCATTAGTTGTCTGTGTCTGCTTTGTGAAAAAGATAGCCATTTTCCTGGCTGTAGAATTAACTATGTTTTGAAAAGCATCCCTAGAATGATCACCTCTCTAATAGGGTATATTCTATTCTAATGCTAAAAATTAGCTATCACCGCATGTTTCATTTGAAAATAAATGACTACATTTGACAAAAGTATCTACTGTTTTTGCACCACCCCTACCCCCAATTTAACTTAAAAAATGAATCTTTTAAATAGGAGTGAAATGTGAGAATCCAGTTTTCTAAGTTTGGCTATAGTAATTTGTCATATAAACATTTGCAAAAAGCCAGTTAACCAGAAAAGAAAGAAAGAATAAAAAAGGAGATATAAGCATGCCATGCCTTTCATAGGGATCATGAAATTTTGCTAACTTATTTTTAACCCATAACGTAATTTAGGAAGTGACTATCAGACCACTGCACATTCACTTTCTCTTTATCCCTTTGGGATTTATGATTCATGCTTAAATATGAAATATTTCTACCCTCTTCTAGTGTAGAACTTGTGTGTTAGACATGTGGGGATAAAGTTTGATAACTGTGTCCTAGTTATAGAATTGTAAAATTAATTTAAAGGCTCAAAACTCTGAATTTGACTGTATTATATTTTTGATATGTAATATTTGCTCTCTCTACTCTGTTATCTGAGTTGTAAATTTTTTACAATTATGTGAGCAAGCTGATCCCTCTTCAAATTATTCTCTGTAGACTTTAGTGGATTTTGTTTTGTTTCCTTCCAGACGGTGGGTGCGGCTGCTATTTGGACGAGAATTTCCTCTGCAGGATCTCCTGGTGGTCTGGGATGCCTTGTTTGCAGATGGCCTCAGCCTGAGTTTAGTAGATTATATCTTCATAGCCATGTTACTCTACATCCGAGATGCTTGTGAGTATTAATGACCTTGCCTACATTCAAATAGGTGGTCTTAATTGTTTTAGTGTTTTCCTTTTTAAATATACTTTGTCTTTTATTCTCTAATTTATATATACTTAAATTTTTGTAGTAGACAGTGTATTGAAACTTCAAAGGAACATACCAAACATCTTTTTTGTTAGTTAACCATGTATATATGTGAAAATGTGGGTGATTTTATCCTGAGAGAATTGGAATATTCTTCAGAACCATTTTTCTAAAGACTTTTACTCCTGCTTTAATCTCCTCATTACACACATTTGTGAAACACATATAAAAGCCAGTATTACAGATATGTTTAGAGCTCCACCTTCTGACAGGTAGGAAGCATTCAGCAATATTTAGTCAGAGATTAGAACTGTTTTTATAGTATCGACACCTTGGCAATAAAAAATAAATACTACGTCTAAAGGTAATTTATCTATTTACCAGATATATTTTAGCAAATTGTATTTCTTAATACAGTGCCTAATTGTAGATGTGTTCCCATCTCCTCAGATCTACCTTAGAGTGCTTGCCAACGCTAGAAGCCGGTTCCTAACCCTTCTGAATAGTCTGATACTCCTCCGCTTGAAGGAAATACCAGAGCATATTTGAAATTTCAAAATACATCAAATTGCTTTCTTTCTCAGAGAAATAGTCACAGTTCACGAAACAAGATTTGTAAGCCAAAATATAAGTAGAAAAGATTGCACAAAGTACTGTGATTAAATTAGGAAATAGACAACCATCATAAGAGTAGGACTTTGTCAGAGGAATAAACACAATTTAGGGTCGTTCATAATCTTAACTGTTCAATTGCTATGTGGTTCTCTTATTTGTTCATTGAATACCAAGTTGTGCCAGATGCTCTTGTTATGCCTCTGGTAACACTAATACTTTTAAAATTTTTATATTATACTTTTTTTAATTTCCTCAAAATTACTTAGAATGAAAAAGTGACAAGAACAGCACATTTTATCCAAAAATTGTATTTTATTTTGTGTCTCGAGGGTCAAATAGTTGGTTTTTGACAGACAGAGTAAAAAGTTCCTTCTTTCTGAGCCAGAGCTAATCATATAAGAAGATGAGATCGAAGAGGAAACATCTGGCAAGTAGAGAAGGATATTTGGATACATTTGATGGATGCTGTATTTTAGGATATTTAGTATGAATCTCCCACTTTAAAGTTGTATGTTCTTAAAAATATAAGTGATAAAAAACAAAAGGAATGAGAAATGTCTTTTAGGGGAAAAAAAATGCTTTGGGGTAATATTTTCACAGAACTTGCCAAATCCAACAGCCATTGAAATGTATTCTGATTTTCGATAATCTTAAACAATTGAAAGAGTTTGCTCTTTTCTTAACTTTTGTACATAACAACTAGATATTTTTAAATTAAATCATCCTGCCCTCTATGCTAAGATCTATTTTTTAAATTAATTTCATAAAACTTGGCAAATTTTTGACAGCTGAGGCCCTTATACTTTTTAATCCTTTCACTTAGTGAATCCTTTCACTTTATAAAACATATGGGCACATATGGAAAAATGCAGAAGTAATGAAATTGTTTATTAATTTTAACATTTGATCCAAATTATTTGTATCTGGTTAGCTAAAATCATGATAGTAGATGAGATCTTCTAAGAATAGGGTGACTATTTATTAGGGATTTAAAGAACTCTATCCCCTGTCTTCAAAAAGCTTACTAGTTAATAGGGAAGACTGACATAATTAATCCTAACCTAAAGATCCCATGCTATGATTGAGTTGTGGACAGAGTGCTATGTAAGTTTATAGGATAGGCACAGTGAGTGATTATGGAAGATGTTATAGGTGTTGACAAGCCAGTAGGGGAGTCAGCATTCCAGGCAGAATAAACAACATGAAGAGAAGGTTGCTTCTGAAAACAGTTTGATGGGGTGGAGGGGTGTTTCTAGAAGCTGTGTATCATTTCATTAGTAGAGGGTAAAGGGTGAACATGACTACCAGGTGATGATCTTGTCCAGAACTCGGATTTTATAGGGCAGATATTTAACTGCCCTTGGCAGGTAAATAACAGAACAGTCACTCAGTGTCCTGAGCCCCTGCCTACCTCTTATTTTACCATATTAATTACCATGACCATCTTATGTTTAATTTTTAACAAATCTGTTGTCATTATTTTTTTGTGTAGTCCTTGAACAGAATTTGATTCTCTTTGAAGATAATTCATTCAAGCAAGTGTAATATTCATCTACTTTACAGATTTCTTATAAACACCAAGTTCTTGGTTAGACATCAGAGATCATTGAGCCTAACCTCCATGTTTGGTGGTGATGGAAACCAGCCCACGGCCACAGGGCTAGTAAGAGACACAATGATTTCCATTCTATGCTTTTCTACCTCACATCACCTTTTCCATCCCTCAAAGCCTACCTTGATTTTATTAAGTAAAATAAATTTTTGCATTGGTAAATGTAACAATGTGAACATAATCTATACAGATTTGTATACTTAACCTTTGAAGTGATGGTTAAATAACTGTACTTTGACTGAAACTCTTACTTTATTAAAGGTGTTGTTGTTAGATGCCATTGAGTCACTTCCAGATTGCAGTGACCTCATGTACAACAAAAAGAAACACTACTCACTCTTGCACCCTCCTCTCAATGCTTGCTATGCTCGAGCCATCATTGTACCCACTGTCCATCCATCTTGTGGAGGGTCTTCCCCTTTTTTGCTGACCTTCTGCTTTACCAAGCATGATGTCCTTCTCCAGGGACTGGTCCCACCTCGTGACATGACCAAAGTATAAGAGATGAACTCTGGCCACCCTTGCTTCTAAGGAATGTTCCAGCTGTCTTCTTCTAAGACAGATTTGTTCATTCTTCAGGAAGTCCATGATATATTCAGTATTCTTTGCCAATACTGCAACTCATGTGCATCAGTTCTTCAGTCTTTCTTATTCATTGTCCAGCTTTCACATGAAAATGAGGCAATTGAAAATATCATGGCTTGGAGTCAGGTGCACCTTAGTCTTCAAAGTGACATCTCTGCTCTTTAACACTTTAAAAAGGTATCTTGCAGCAGATTTGCCCAGTGTAATAATATCATTTGATCTCTTGACTGCTACTTCCATGGTCATTGATTCTGGATCCAACTAAAATGAAATTCTTGACAACTTCAGTCTTTCCTGCATTTATCATGCTGTTGCTTATTGGCCAAGTTGTGAGGGTTTTTGTTTATTTGCTGTTAAGAGGTAACCTATGCTGAAGGCTGTAGTCTTTTATTATTATTATTATTATTATTATTATTATTATTGTGATTTGGGTGAAGATTTATAGAAGTTCACATACACTTTATCTCATGACATTGACCACAGTTTACCACAATGCAACAGCTCCCCTCCCACTTCCTCCCCACAGTTACCTCTTCCCAGCGTCCATCCCACCATGGGCTCTTGTCCCCTGAGCTGTCTCCCTGTGCATAAGCAGCCCTTCTTTCTCCCATGATTGTTCTCTCCAAGGAGTGTATCTACTTGAGGTAAATGTTCAACTCATATGCCTGTCTTTTGTTTGGCTGGAAACCACAGGTGTGGGTTCAATTCCAGACCCAAAGGGCAGCTAGGGGCCATAGTCTCAGTGGTTCCACCCAGGTCTATCAGACCAGCAAACCTGCCCCTCCCCCTTTTTTTCCTCCAATGATTTTGAGTTTTGTTCCACATTGTTCTCCCTTTCTATCAAGGATCTCCTACATAGATCCCCTTTCAAGTGGATGACAGTGATAGCCAGGCACCATCTAGTTCTTCTGGTCTCATAGTCATATGGGCTGCAGATTGGATGGTGGACCAGTCGCTAGAACTAATTGTTTCCATGAATTTTGGTTTTCTTCATTCTTCTTTGTTCTGGATGAGGAGAGATCCATCGTTGCATCTAGATGGCAGCTTGCTAGCTTTTAAGATCCCAGTCGCTACTTGCCAAGGTAGGAGGTGGAACAATGTTTTGTGTAGTATGTTATACCAATTGAGCTTGATGACCCCTGCGACTATGGTCCCAAGCCCACAGGTTCAACTACTCGGTCTCTCTGGGTAGCTGGCTGTGACCACGCAGTGACCACAACCTTGCCCCTTGTCAGCTCTACTATACACTTGGGAATTCTGATCATTCACATAAACTTGTAGGACCATTGTCTGCCAAACCTATGTATGTTCTTGAATACACTCCCCATTTCATAGACATACCTAATCGTACAGCCTGTCCATCCATCTATCCATCCATATACCCATGTTTGCCTTCATTGACAACACAGTACTATATGTGCAAAAGGATTCGTATTTGTTGTCTGTACCTCCCATGTACCTCTCTATGTCTTTCTCATCCTCAATGCTGTCAAATTGGTCACACAGATTTGGTACATTGCCTGAAGGCTGTAGTCTTTGATCTTCATCAGTAAATGCTGCATTCTTCTTGATATAATCCAGCTTCTCGGATTATTTGCTTAGCATACAGATTGAATAAGTATGGTAAAAGGATACATTCCTGATGCAGTATTTCCTGTTCTGTCTGAATGACTGCCTCTTGGTCTATGTACAGGTTCCTCACGAGCACAATTAAGTGTTCTGGAATTCCTGGTTTTTATCATGTTAGCCATTATTTGTTATGATTGTGTAGCCAATAAAACTTAGGTAAACATCTTTCTGGTATCTTTGCTTTCAGCCAAGATCCATCTGACATCAGCAATGATATCCCTCATTCCACATTCTCTTATGAAACCAGTTTGAATTTCTGACAGTTCTCTGTCAATTTACTGCTGCAAACATTTTTTAATTATTTTCAGCAAAATTTTACTTGCTTGTGACATTAATGGTATTGTTTGATAATCTCTGCAGTCTGTTGGATCACCTTTCTTTGGAATGAGCAAATATGGATCTCTTTCAGTCAGTTGGCCAGGTAACTCTCTTTTAAATTTCTTGGCATAAAGGAGTTTGTGCCTCCAGTGCTGCATCCATTTGT